GAGCCGCTCAATGTTATCTTGAATGAATTGAAAAAGAACACCCTATAACCTACACTGATAAAAGGATGACTATAAACCTACAGGAAAGACGTGGCCCACCGCTCAGATCCTTAGGACTATCGAGAGAAATTTCCTCCTCTACTCGGACTCCTGACTCCTGTCTACAGCCCCAGCATCTGCCCTGCAGGTTCCACACTCACAGTCTGCTACCAGCCAGACTCCTCCACACTGGGGTCCAAAAGGCCTTCCGAATAAAACACGTCCAAAGGGAAGATCTCCCCTCAGATCCTGTTCTTCCCACAGGCTTTTCCATATCGTAGGTATATTGAAACCATCATCTACCCCAGTGCTCAAGCAAAGCCTCAGTGTCCCAGGTTCACTCCTCCACTGCCCATCTCCAGCATGTCACGCACTCTGCACCCCGCGCTCAGCGCTGGGCCAGCTCTGCTCTCCACAGCCCTGCCTGGTCTGTGTCAGATGCTGTGGCCTCCGCCCAGTGCTGGGCTCCCTGCTTCCACTCTTCCTTCACAGCAGCCAGCACAAAAATGTAGTAATGTCAACCAAATCAGATCACTCCTCTGCTCAAAACCTTCCCACAGCCTCCAGTAGTACATAAAATAAGCCATGAACTCTTTACCAGGGCCTCCAGGGATTCCCCATCCAACACCGACCTCAGTGCATGCTGCTCTCCACATGACACCATCCACTCTAGCCGTTGGGGTTTCCTTCCATTCCCCAAACTTCCCAAACACATGCTCCACTTGGGGACTCGGGGATGCTGCCCCCACTGCCAGATCTTCATGCAGATAGTTGGGAACCAGGATCACACAAGGGCCCCCATGCACCCTCTTCACGCTATCCCGCCTCCCACCCTGGCCTCAGAAACAGAATGGTGAAAAATGAGCCAGTGATTTCCTCAGCAGGGAGGGTTAGGAGCGCTGATGCACAAGGTGGCACAGAAAATGACGAGGCAGTCGACAACTCCCCCATCTTCCCCTCCGGTGGCCCCTCAGAGATACTCAAACATCAGTGACCCTCACCAAGCGTGAAGGCCACTGAGATGCTCTGAGAGGCAGAGTCCAGGACGCAGCGGCCGCTCCTCTGCCACCCGAGATCCTCCTGTGGATCAGGCACAGATGATGCTGAGCCTTGAGTACCCACTAACAAGACAACTAGATGTATCCAGTGAGACCTGCAATACTAAGTTTATCTAATGTGTCAAGGACTCCTCATGGGTCTGGGGGTTCTCTTCACATTGTTCCCCTACAGCACTTAAGACCCGTGGAAATTACCGATTTGTCTGTTTGTTTCACTGTCTGGCACATCCCTAGCCTGGAAACCGCCTGAAGGCAGGACTCTCCCCTGCTTTGTTCACTGTCACAGGCCTGGCCCCAGAAACAGAGCTCGGTACATGAAAGGTTCTCAACACATACTTGTTAAATGAATAAATATTTTGTATCTCTAATTCAAAACCTAGAATTACTTCTTCATCTGTCCTTTTCCTAAAAAAAAACTCATCAGAATATTTATAAAGTAAACACAGATCTTAGGAAAGGCAATCACAGGCACTGGAATTTAGCTTCCTGTAAAAAGGAACACAATAAAGGTGGTTCTCAACCTTCCTAATGCCGCAACCCTTTAATACAGTTTCTGTGGGTGGCGACCCACAGGTTGAGAACCGCTGATTTGGAAAATACTATGGAATTTCGTCTGCAAGCATGTGCCAAGTGTTCTTTCACAGAAATTATCATCCTAATCCTTTTATCTGGTTCAATGTCATGTTCCTCAAAGAAAGCAGATAAGGTGATAAGGTAGGCAACATGTAAATTTTTTTTGCCAAAGCTCATGTTTCATTTGGAATGACTGGATCTTTTCAGACAAATCAAGGCATGTTGCATTAGGTCCTTGCAGTGACAAACTTAACTCATTTAAGATGGCAAAGATGTCAACCAAGTTGCTATTTTCTGTAGTTCACTTTTATCGCTGAAAAGTACTTAGAACTGCGGTTTTGCTTTCTGATTAAAAAACGTTTTGAGTTCATCACAAAGCTCAAAAACACGTTTTAAAACTTTTCCGATCAACCACCATCTCACTTCAGTGTGAAATAGCAGAGCGTTGTTCGGCGCATCCAACTCGTTGCACAGTTGTGAAAACAGTGGACTGTTTAAAGTGGTCACCTTTACAAAACTGACAGAACTGATGACGCTTTTCATTACTTCTTGTAGTTCTTGTGGCAGTGTCTTCGTTGCTAATATTTGCTGATGAATCACACAGTGAGTTCTGATGACTTTTGGTGACTCATTCAGTACCAAACGTTGAAATCCAGATCGACATCCTACCATAGCTGGAGCATCGTCTGTGCAAACACCACAAACCTTTTCCCAAGAGATCTGATGCTCTTTCCGAAATGAACCAACTGTGTCAAATACATCACGTGCAGTAGTTGTCATTTCAAGAGATTTGCAAAAAAGAAACTCATCTTTAAAGTCACCATCATTAATATACCTCACACAAACCAATAACTGTCAACAGTTTGCAACGTCTGTAGATTCATCAAGCTGGATACTAAATATTGGAAGTGGAGTAGATTTAATTTCCTGGATTACCTGATCAAGAATATCAGCAGACGTGTCATCTGTTCTTCCGCAGACAGTGTTGTTAGATAAGGAAATTGCACTCAATTTCGTAACAAATTCGTCCCCCATCCTAACTTGAACAATGTCTTTGGCCGCTGGCAACCGTAAATCCTCAGCAATGGTGTGAGGTGTCATAGCTCTGGCGATTCACCAAATATGAGGCTTCAGCGACTACTATGTTTTGTTTGCGGTACTTGCCACCAGTGTCGAGTCTGGCTTTCTTGAGTCCATCAGCTTTGCTTCTAAAATAGTTGGTATCCTTGCCGGCAAAGCTCAAATGCTTGCTATCAAAACAGCGTTTTAGTTTGTTCAGCTTCATAGATATGGCTGTTAGAATTTCACAACAAATAATACACTGTGATTTCTCAATTCCTGCTGTAATTACTGAGGTAAAACCATACTGTAAAAAATCCTCACTATATTTTCATTTTTTAACGTCCTTCTCTACACGATCCATTGTCATGGGATGGTTTGCTAATGAAAATAGCATATAACAATAGCTTTAATAACAAAAGATGATCCATGGCATAGTTCAGTCAACACAGTTCATTAAAGTTTCCTACGATTTACCATCTCTGTTGTTTTTTTTTTTTTTTTTTGACATATCTGTCACTATCACAAGGGGGCAATGTTCACATCAACCACAGCTGAATACAAAAAGTTGGATCAGCATCTAGATTAAGTTCCCATGGTACGGATTTTTTTTTTTGCAGTAGATGATGATTTTACAGTACCTGATTTTACATTTACCCAGTAATTATAGTTCATGAAGTGTCATTTTACCTCTAATACCGC